GCGGTTGTACGATGACAGGCGGCGTTGCCATAGAAGTTAGAGGACAAAGTACAGGTTCCAGCCCTTGTTGGGAAGGAAGTTAAGAATCATCTCTCTCTCTCTCTTTTTTTATATATATATATATATTTATATATTTTATCATTTCTATAAATATTTAGAGTATTTAAATAAGTTTGAATAAGAATATTTTCTTAACAGAACATAAATTCATTTTCTAGCTATACTGATAATAATCTTGGTATTTCTACCATCATATCAACGATGACAAGCATATATACACAGATGAATGAATTTGTGAATTTATATGATGTACTATGAAATGAATAACTCATAACAGCTGCACACAATACCTCTCATCGTACATGCAAGCTAGAAAAGTACACACATGAGCCGTGTTAATAACCACATCTGCTTGATGACAAAGTAAAAATGCAATAATTAATTGGGTTGTCGCGTGCAAGAATTTGTATTTGTTGAATGTACATTGAGAGCTACCATCAAATTTTAAAAAAGTTAATTTTACAAGGATTTTACGACTAAAAGATAAGAAATTCAATATCAGTTTGTTTTAAAAAGTTTTAATTGTCGATCTTTTGTTCGAGTTTTCTTTCAAACATTTGCATAATTGAATTAAATTAAAATCCAGTATAATAAGTGACAGTTACGGAAAGGATACGATTGGCCACCCGAAGTAATGTTAAACAATATACATAACCATAAACGATTTTTTGTTGTTGTACCACTCTGTCGTGTCTGTTCAACGTATGAACAAAACATAAAACAGGCCAAATTTTATAGATTATAGAATAATTTTTAATTCCATTTGATGTTTCAAATCCGCCATTATTACAGTTAGCAATTAAAAATAATGTAAATCCACGTCCATGCTCTCATATGAAACTTTCTTCAAAAGAGATCGTTTATCCTTAAATTACCAAATTTATTACAGTACATTAAAATTTACATAGAAGGGTTATCAACATTTATCAACAAACAGTTCAGGTTTTGGCAATTAAACCAGAAAAAGACAAGATAGAACAGCGATTCATATTGACATACAAAAGCAGTGATAAGGTATCAATTTGATGACAGATGAATAGACGCAATTAAGATTTCATTCCAAATCCATTACTATGAAACATCTTCTGAAAGTGTTACTGCATGTGGAAAATTTGAAATAATGACACTATTCCTGTTTTGTCAAAACTAATTGCTCTTTTTTAGAACAAGAGAAAAGATAAATTAATTATAAATTACTTCTATGTAAATCAGATGTAAGCGTCTCATATCTTCGGGGCTAACGCCGCTCAGATATGAGAGGCTTACATCTAATACAAGGAGACGAAGTAGGAGTGCAAATGCACGAGACAACTATCCACAAGTGAATAAAGAACAAGGATGTGATCAAATACATGTCACCGTATGTTTTGGTACATCTATTATGAATTGTAAACAATTACTATGAAGAAGAAGACAGCCAAAAGGACTAGATAAGATTAAAACACAAACACAAACACATTAAGGAAAATATCGAATGCAGTACAAACTTCTATAACACTTGTTTCTGAGGAAATGCAAACGGATGTACACTGATTAAGAAATAAACTTTCCATTAGATAAAATAGACTATCACACAATTTAATAAATTGTTTTCCTGTTACTAAAAAAGCCATCACAGAGAAAATAAACATAGGTTTATGAAACTTTATATACTGTAACTAAAGCAATTATTTCATGTGTGCCAGCAATTGAACCATCAAGAATATACAACCCTCGTACATTAATAAGATGAACATAAATAACAGTTAGAGGAGATACCAAACCAACAGAAACAAAACAGGAATTAGACCAGAAATGGGAACCAATAGGTCAATTTGCGAATGAAGAAAGTAAGATAACACAGAAAGGTATATGGGCAACAAATAATAAGAAGAATACAAGCAAACTTGCCGCTTTCAAAAAATTCAGGATAGTAAGGACATCCTGATCCACACGCAATATGCATTGTATTGCATAATGGTAAGAGCCAATAGTTATTATATATGACCGAGTATAACATGTAGAAACCAGAGCTCGCAGTCAGAAAACGTTTGAGTACGACTATCACACTCATGCACCGAAATCAACCAATTAATCTGCTAGATTTAGTGTTTGGAGCATAAATTGTGTACTCCGAGTACTGAGTAAAGTATTAAGACTGAAAGGCCACAATAGTTTTAAAACGACTGTAACAGACAATTCAAAATCAGGTGAATGAAACAAGAACTTGACAACTTAATACAAAAATAGGACAGATGTTTGTATCGTGTAAATGCAGTAAGTTATGATTAAGTTGAAGGAAAACCAATTTAATCAATCGAAGACTATTTGTATAGTCAATGTACTTCTTCCTTTTACAGCATAATCCTCTGTTTAAGATCTGGAAGCTAATTGACAATGCTTTAAAATGAAAATAGCAAAATCGAGTTCCCTCGAAGAAAACAATAAAGCCATTCATAAAAGTAAAACAAAACAGAGAGAGTAAACATAGCATTAAATAAAACCACTTCAGGAATCGGGAGGGAATTCAGCGAAAATAAAATCTTTCTCAATGATAAAACAGCTCAGTGAAAAAAATGAATGTTGCTATTTTTTAATAAACGCTTGTCTTATGACACATGTCGATATCGACCGTCAAATGTCGAACTTGCATTAACGTGATTTCATTAACTAGTAACAGTTACAGGTGCTGGCAATTCAACCATTTAAACATAAACATGATTGAACAGAAATTCAGACCATCAAACAGTAAGCAATGATAAGGTATAAATGTGATGACAGAAAATATTTCTTTCCTAACTTTGAATACAAAAAATTCTCAAAAAGTTAAATTGCATCTGGCACATGGCATACATCTCCACTGTTTACAATAAAAATTCTTACAAATCAAGTGAAATTGAACCGGTTTAGTTTCAATGAAGATTACTTACTGAAAGATAAGTTGAAGCAGTTGGGTTACAATTACACGCAAGTCTTTTTTCCACAATGCATTAAATTTTAAAATGTAGATATTAATGATATAAATGAGAGAGAGGATTAAATGTGTATATCTTTCTGACAAATGCTTTTAATACACGTTTGAAATCTGTTGTTTTTGTCATTTAATCATTATATTGCTAGAATATTCAATTCTTATATATGTAACTCCTTCAATAACAAAAACATGTATAGAAAACCATTAAATTTAGAATTAAAAAATAGGTGACACAACATTGCCTTTTTTTTTAACAAAGTACGCTACAACGCAAAGTTTAATTTCGACAATGGCAGCATTTCTGTTTTAAATATTTTGTAACCAGAGAAAAGATTGAATAATTATTCGTTACTTCTACGTAAATTGATTGATTGCATCCATTATCTTCTCTCGGTCACTTACGTGCCCTCGGATATATAAAATATTGTGGTAATTGCGCTCAAATAATAAGCACACCAAATAAAACAAATCATAAAATATCTATACGAATATTTTGCAATCGTGTATAATTGTCAGAAATAGGAATATGCCACAAAAATATTTGATGTTAATGTACGCAATTTAGTATGAAATGCTGAAGTGTTCCTATAAAAATCTGGGACAAGGACTATGTTACTGTGTCACGACAATTAAGTTATCATTGCATTGAATTAAAACATCTTAATAACCACATTAGAGCAATTAACTACGTGGTTAAAATCATGACCAAAGAGAACAAGATAAACAAAGAAATAAATTGTAGACCCTAAAAAGAAAAACTAAAACCACGCTAACTGATAAGTTCACTGATAGTTTTATTCATTGTCCTATGTACATGTAAATTATTGTGAAACGAGAAGATATTTCAGATGGATAAAGTAAAATGTATTTTAAAACGGAAAACAGAACTCTCCGTTACAACAAATCTCTATGTTAAACGTTGCACAGCTGTCTACCCTGTGTTTAGTTAATAATTAAAAACCGCTTTTGACAATTATTTTATTATATATATACTTGCACAAATTTCCCGATAACAATCATATATTAACAATATTATGCAACGATTTACTTAAAATCATAAGATTTTAAAGATAAAAGGAAAGAACGCAGGCGTTACGTACATCATTATTTGACGTTTGATGCCTTGTTTCCTTCTTATACCCGCTTCCTATAACTCCCGCTTTTAAAAGGGTGTATACACACATAAAATGAAGCAATATATGACAAACCATCATTTACGAGGGATAACATCACTCATTTTGAAACCATGGAATGGTTCATATTTGAGTGCATGTAAAAAAAAACCGATTTATTTATTTACTTTTTATATTATTTTCATAAAGAAATAGTATTTAAATATAGTTTACAAATACTTCACAACAAACAATACAGGGTCAGGGTTGTTTTTTCCTTCATTAACAAATAGCATCGCTGTCATGTAATCAGTCTTTACTGTCGGGGTCATCGCCTCTTTTATTGACCACTTCGCATTAATCTTGCAAAGACGTTAGTTTTGATTAGGCACATAAAAATAGCTATCATGATTGCTTAACTATGTTTTGTATTGACGCTTGCAGATGATACATTCATTACTAAAATAAACATACAGGCAATCGTTCAACAATGTACTCTCAGTTGATATATACATATTTAAAATGTATACTCATCAGCTAGTGTATCCCATCTCAACCCATGTTTTCAAAATTTAGAAGTATACTTTATTCATTCGACATAGAAACTAACTTGCCGTACGAGTCTCTTGTTCATTAAAACAAAAGACAAGTAAACATCTCTTGTTCGTTAAAAAAAATGCCAACTGAATATTAAAATAGACCAATTGGTCAAATTAGCGAAACATACAGACATAATATTATTTCACTTATTTCATATGTCTAAAATACTAAAATTGCAATTGATTATAATTTTTTTAGAGCAACACAAACAACAGCAAAAAATATAAAATAATGATAATTATAATAATAATATAATGATAAAATAATAAACTCACTGCGTCCTCTGCCAAATCTACTCCCATGGACATACTGCAAGGCTCTAGGGTACCCGAGCTGACGACAGACAACATGCGCATCTCTAATGTCCCAGTTATGGTCACAAATTGATCCCCATTTATTATCATGGAATACTAATACTGTCCCCTCACTTGAACTAGATCCTCCAATCAAACGTATATCTCCTTCAGAAAAAGGATAACTCTTTATATAAGCAACACTCAGGATAAAAGCAAACACTTTGATTAATTCCATTTTGATTGAATAAGAAATAAAAAAAAATCAAATGGGGAAATCCGCCGTCAACTCCCTGCTCCTGCCTGCCTTGGTATTCACCGACGTCTTAATGAAACATTTTACAGTATTTTAGTGCCGTGCATATGTCTTAATACAATATAAGCGCGTGCCACATGACCCATGATACGTTGGAGGTCATGGAAATTTAAAACTTTTTTAACTTAAATTAGCAGTGTCTAAACACCTGAACTACTGAATAGATAGGTGTGCACAAAATGATCCGGAAGATTAACAAAACTTATCTAACTATTAGTAAATGATTTTGTTAAATAAAGACATAAAAGGTGTCAGTAAATCAAGCCTTCATCTTAGTTTCCAATCACCACTCACAAAAAATCTTAAACCCGTATTGTTTAAATCATAACTCGAACATTGAAACATTAAGACTTAAAATTCCTATCTCATTCATAACATTTTCTACACTGCTCTAACAAGCAAACCAACTCGACAATTTATAAAAATGTCAGATCAGCATCTTGAAAACCTTGGAGGCGTTTTCGTGCACCTGCATAAGATGTTGCGGTTATAAAATATAACTCATCGCTGGAATATACATTCCACGATGCAGACTGTGCAGTATAATATAAACTCGAAAAAGCGACAACATGATGCAGGTTATGTATATCACAACAAGCCCCTATTATCACCGAAGTTTGTAAATTTACATAAGCGTACGTTGATCACTCTGATACTTAAAGGTATCTTTTGATTGAAATCATAAATAATATATAATAAATCGTAGGTAAATGTGAATTGGGGCACGAAAACTTCAATAGGGAAAGACAACCTTGATCAAATATGCAAATCCATACTTATTGCTACTGATCAGTGTCTATTCTGTCTACGTGTCCTTATGTAAACTTTTAAACGTTGAAAATGTTTCTAATTTGGTTAATGCTATACGCCTCTTTACAAGGGTAAAAATGAGTAGAGAATTTTGGTAAGTTCTCGACAAATTCTCTACGTTGGACGATTATCAAATAGCATACTATCAAATAGCATTAAATTATAATTTTCAATGTCTGTGAAATCTCTATATAATGTTACTTTTTATCGAAATTGGCGTCCTACTTTATTTTTCACGAATAATTAATAAAAATGAGCCAAAAATCTCATTAGCTTTAAAGGGACGACGTTGTATGTTTGTTGATATTTAAGCTATTTTAAAGTATAGACATATAAATCATTACAGATATATTTTCTTTTGACATAAACCACAAAAAGGTTTTGTGGTATGAACTAAACAATAAAATGACCATTAGAGGTTTTTAGAGGTACTATCAAATAACCTTTTATGCATGTTATTACATTTGAATACAAAGAAACTTATGCACATCATATTTAATAAATCTTAGTCTTTACTTTGTTTTATACCAAAGGAACAGTAAAATTGAGAATGGAAATGGGGAATGTGTCAAAGAGACAACAACCAGACCAAAGAGCAGAAACAGCCCAAGGCCACCAATGGGTCTTCAACACAGCGGGCAAATCCCGCACCCGTAGGCGGGTTTCAGCTGGCCCCTAAACAAAAATGTGTACTAGCTCTGTGCAAATGGACGTCACACTAAACTCCGAAAGAAATAAATGAACTAAAATTAAAAAAAAACATACAAGACCAGCAAAGGCCAGAGGCTCCTGACTTGGGACAGGCGCAATAATGCGGCGGGGTTAAACATGTTTTCTGAGATCTCATCCCTCTCCCTATTCCTCTAGCCAATGTAGAATAAACAAACACACAGCAATACGCACAGTAAAACTCAGTTTAAAAGAAGTGCATACTTTAGTTATTGTTGTAAACCTATTGATGTCCAGATGTCTTTTGAATTTGTGTGTCATTAAGTTGATGTGCCAATAACATAACCCAATACATCTATATAAACTGTAATCCAGTAAGATTTGACAACTTTTAGTTTTTGACCTTGTCAGTGAAACAAATACGCACAACAAATACAAGGCAATTAGTCCTACCTCTTTATTACGTTCTCTCATGGTATTGTCAGTTTAATGGCATTAGCACTTTGAAATATATGCTCTGTAACAGTTCGAGGCTTCACCAAAGAATTTTGTATATATTAAAATGTCTGACTGTTACGTAATAATAATTATTTTCTTATATAACAGAGCTAATGTTAACAGTTTTCCCATCTCCACTGACAGGTTTTCAAGCCTTAATAAGAAAGTTGAAAGATAATTATAAGCTACGTCACTTTTGAAAACAATTAAGTCAATAATAAAACATACTATATGACTGAGAACACGTAGCAAAAACATATTTTATCGACTGTAAAAGGAATATGAAAGTAGTATTCCGATGTCAGTTGAACACAATAATAAAGTCATTATAAATTCAGATATCTCAAAACAAATGGTATCGTTATGAAACTGGAGTCAGTTGTGTTGTATGTCTGTGATGTATGTTAACACAGTTTTGGCTGCTGGATCCCAAAAATTGTCACATTAACTTATTATGTCTGTTTGGGTTGCTCACTAAATTTTGTCAATATAACGGAACTCTAAACAACTGTCTTACAAGTGATAGGTTTAGCTAGCTTTAAAACCAGGTTTAACCCACCAATTTCTTCGGAAAATGCCTATACCAAGTAAGGAATATGACAGTTGTTTTTCACTCGGTCCATTGGTTGAAAACGTTTGAATTTATCAGTTTTTGTGGACTTCCCCTTTTTGATTTTCCATTGGAGTTCGGTATTTTTTATCCTTTTGTGAACTTATAATGAAGCAAGAGCAGAAGGACAATCGGAATCGCTAGAACTCTTAAAGTAGTGAGAGCAGAAGCGTCAACTAGGCAGAGGACACGTCATCCGACTGTGCATATACATACAAACACGTGTACATAAACAATGAACAAATCTGTCTAAACGTAAAATAGTAAACCTTTAACTATGAAGAAAAAACACCAAATCTTACGAAAACAATAGCGGAAGGTCTGCTTCTTATTTTGGACAACCAACGTTAACACAACAGAAGTTGTCGGTTATTAACCTGTTAAGAGGTAATTGGCCTGTTACATTGTATAACTGTTTAAAAAAAAAACACGATGGCAGACGGTATATATAATTTACGACTAATCCGATAGCAAATGCTTTTTGACCATAACCTTTCTATTGCAGGTGCTGTGAATGGTTAGGTATGTCTGATAATGCTGTGGATTAAGTAGCATCCTGGTCTTTCGGTCTGTCGGTGTATCTGGTTTTCATTTTAGTTTATGTATATTCACCATCCTATATAGGAACTACGGTCTCTTGGACGGAACACACGGCATGTTTTAACTATTACCTCCAGTTTCATGAAATACGGATGTTTTGGACTTTGAAAAGGATTTTGTTTTCTTTTTAATTTTGGTTTATTCAACTTATCAACGGTTTTGGTTTTTCATATATTTTGGTAGTCAAATAGGTACCGTTAATGCTATTACTATAGAACTAGAACTAGGTTTTAATCGTATGTGATATAATTCAAAAGCCCTCTTAGTTTAGTCTCTTCTTTTTGAAGCAGTTTCTTTATTTTAAATGATGAAGGTTCATATGATATACACATTCAGCAGAAAATAAGACGTATTTTCATTATTCACAGAATGACGCACTTTGTGACTTCGTCTAATAGAAATATCTCGTTGTGCTGATGTAGAGTATTGCCCCTGTTACAATTAAACAGATATTTTGTGGTAAATAACAAATGCATGAATAACATTCTGTCTAAAAACGTATATGATTAATGAAACATATATATTTATTATAATGCACATGAAAATGCCAGATTTGGATTGGTTAATACGAGGGAGACATTTTACTCTACCCCATGCCTCAGCAGGATACAGATTTTTGAATATCACCCTCTCGTGCATACCAATCAAAATTTAAAAGACAATTAATGATTTGAATTTACATCAATAATTTGAAAGACAATGCTAGAATGTTACGTTTCGGTTCCAGGCGTTTTTCTTGGACTGTTAAAAAAAATACATCTTGCTTTATGGAAAGCCTCATTGCTTCACTTTTGTTTCTTTTCTAGTGAAGGGAACGTTGTTATGATTGTGATAGAGCGGATTGTTACTCCTTGGCACCTTCGCCTCGGTTGACAACGATTTCTCGGGGAATCTGATCCATCACCAACTCACCTATGTGTTATTTATATAAATATTTTAAATGAGAAACTCTCGCATACCGATAACGTGCATGGCCCTTGTTATGAGTAGTCAACCTCCTCGTTGTTTTTGAACGAACCGTTACCAATCCTGATAATTGTCTCAAACCACATTTTAACGTATCATACAGATTGTGGTAGCGTAAGGAGTTAAATAAAAAAAAAACTAAATTTGATCAATTTAAGCATTCCTGCCTATTATCTTGAAAATCATTATAGACACACTTAACTTGTTAACAGAAAAAAGGGTTGGCATTTACAAGATCTACAAAATGTCAATATGACGAATATCATAAATTGACTTCTGTTAAGAGTTATTGCCCTTAAATGAATACTTGTGGTTTTATTGCAGATTAATTGTCAACTGAGATAGAAACATGGAATCCGTACACAGCGAAAATGATCAGAAACATAAGATCTCAATAAATGCTAACATATAACTTAAAACATAAATTGACTCCATATATGATTACAATTTATTGATCTTAAATGATTTGTTTATCATTTTTTTCCACTTCTACCGGTTATATTGCAACTTATTACAGATGAATTATATGTTGCTCCATCATTCAACATGGCCACCGTGACTTAAAATAGAACATAGACGTGAAATGTCTAATATTTAATTTAATACCATGAAAACTGAAAAGATAAGGAAAATCTGACAAGGCAATATGGATATCGCAGGAGTGACATTTGGTAGAACGAAAGCTATTCAAACCTTTCGCCGGATGTAACAATCGTCACGTAATTCGTTTGAAGGGTTTTAAAATCTATTTGTTGGACAAAATTTCGAAACCAGATAATTACATCATATACTCGTTTCTTAAAAGATAAAATGGTTTACGTTTAGTATCTCTTTCATGAAAAAGATATATGTACTTTGAATTTGATAGTTTTTGTATTGCACCTAAGAGAAACTTATACCAAATAAAAGATTGGAAGATTACGCTTAGCTGTCACTGTTGAATGTCAATCAGTATGATCCGTGTAAAGTTGATTTTATTTGTAAAAGTATCCTCGAATAAGAGGGAAAATGGTCATATAGTACAGAAACTACTGAAAATCAATTCAGTAATTTACAAAGTATGTGTAATAAGTACTCTTTGCTCACAATTTATAAGACAAAAACAAATTGTGAAGCTAAATATAAAAGTGCTTACGCATTACTTTGAAATAACATCAAATATATTGTACCTAAATAAACATGCTGGTAGACAAATTGTATCCTCT